ATCAACTTATGCATGCACTAAACAACATCTTTTATTATTTTTACTGGAAGGTTAGATTTACAGAGAGAATGAGACACAGACAAAGCTCTCCCATCTGTTGGTTCACTCCCCAAGTAGCTGTAACAACTGGAGATGAGCCAGGAGCCCAGATCCTCTTCCGGGTCTCCCACGCGGGTCTCCCATGCAGGGTCCCAAGGCTTTGGGCCGTCCTCGACTGCTTTCCCAGGCCACAGGCAGGGAGCTAGATGGGAAGTGGAGCATGCAAGGTGAAATGAACCAGCGCCCAAATGGGATCCTGGTGCTCAAGGCAAGGATTTAGCCACTATACTATCATGTTGGGCCTGCTAAGCAACTTCTAAAATTGGCTGTATTTCTAACTCTTCTAATTCTAATTCGTCTCTTTACAGAATGGCTGATTCACGTTCTCTCACACATACACACCCTTGAAAATCTGACAGAGCTGAGAAGTTAGCTGTGTAGGGTAAAATGGGCACATGGGAAGGCTGGCACTCAGCAGCGAGAGGACCAATGCTGAAGGTGCCTGCCATGTGCACACTGCTTTCCGAAAACTGGGGAGAGCTGGGCTGTGCAGGAGGCAGAATGTCCCCACCACACACAGGGCACTTCATTCCCCCAGAGGAAACCTGCTGGCTGCCCAAGACCACCGTCCCACAGAGTGGACCTGCTCCAAACACACCACACACTCCCCACCATTCAAACCATCTTCACATCCCCCAGAGACACCCACAAATGGAATTACCTCCACCTAAGGGAGGGCTTTTTGTTTGTTTGTTTTTTTAAGTTTAAATGTATTAAACACATTGCTTCCACTTACTGAGACATACTGAGAAATACTGCCACGTTTCTAGAACGCATGGATGCATGGATGGTTGGATGGATGGAGGGAGGGAGGGAAGGATAGAGGGATGGATGGAAGGATGGATGAATGGATGGAAGGGACAACAGACACACAGGGATGTCAACAGAAATTGGGGGAAGCTAAATAAATATATAACTAAATAAATAAATTTTAAAAACTGGGGACAGGCTAAGAGTTCTCCGTGTAATCTTGCCAATATCCAAGTGTCTCTGAAACTGTTCACTTAGATTATTACAAGCAGAAATACCTTCTACAGAAGCTAGTCATTTCAGAGGCTGGCAATGTGGCTCCTGGAGTTAAGCTGCATCTGGCATCCTAGCATCTGAACCACTTCAAGTGCCAGCTGCTCCACTTCCTCCCAGCAGTAGAAGACAGACCAAGTACTTGGGCCTGACGCCCACACAGAACAGGATGAAGTCCCGGGGTCCTGAGTCGGCCTGGTCCAGACCTGAACACTGCAGTCTTTTGGGTAGCGAACCAAGAATTAAAATCTCAGTGTGTGGACGTGTGTGTCACTTGGGTTTTTCAAATAAACTGTCTGAAAAACTATCTTTTAAAACCTCATACTTAGCAGTGTAAAGTATTCTGAAAAGCTAGTAACAAAAGATCTGTATGCGAATCGTTCACCCTCCTTCCACTTGAAGCAGACTATGCAGGCTCCGTACCAGTTCTTGACACAGTTCCAAATCACACCGTGAAGAAACTGTGGGGCAGGCAACGCAGCGCAGAAGCACCAACTGCAACCCAGACCTCAGGGAGCCCTACCAACTCTATGTCCATTCCAGCTGCCGGCTAACGCACACCCGAGAGGCACAGGGAATGGCTCAAAAGCTGGGCCCAGTGCTCCCAGACCAGTGCAGACCAGGCTGGGCAGCGCTATAAAATCTGCTGGCCTGCACGTGAGCTGGACTGAGGGAAAGCCAGAGGAAGCACAGGCTGGCCAAGCCACAGCAACAGCTGGCAAGTCCTGTCAGGCTAGATGGCAGTCTCACCTGCAAAGTGGAAAATCCAGGGCTAGGCACCCCTGGTGAACATGAGAACCAGGGCTAGGGGTGGGTCTAAAGCACCCACTGGCTTAAGTGTGGGTTGGCTAGTGGGGTCAGCCAGGCTGGGCTAGGCTGCAGCGCCCACTCCTGTGCTCAAGAGTCAAACTGGATGCAAACGGACTGGACTGGTCTGCTGCACACACCGGTCATGCACAGGGCCCAGGGCTGGAGGCAGGCCTAGGAGGGAAAATTGGGGGCCACTCTGACTGGGCTGCAGTTCCCTGGTGTGTGTGAGAGCTGAGTGTGTGCTGAGTGTGGGTTGGACTGGGCTGCGTAAGAGATGGGGCTGAGGACAGGACTGACGGGGCTACTGCAGCCACCAGTGTGGACAGGCTGATTTGGTGACAGACTGAGCTGGATTCCGCACTGGCTGGCACACATAGGAGTCAAGTCTGGGGTCACCTCTGGCACTCCCCCAACTGGACTGCTGGATTCAAAATCCCAACCACAGCAAAAACCAGAGGCTCTGTGGTCTGATCCATGAGCACGCACTTTACTACACAGGGTACAGCAACCGAGGAGGAGCATGGGGGACACAACAGATCCCTGAGGCCTGCATAGGACATCGAGGACCCTGGAGGGCAGAACAAACTGGACAACTCCCCTGGCCAAGCTCTGACAGCGTGTCTAGGCAAGTGGAAACTCCAGGGTGTCCAGACCCTGGAACAACAAAATCAAAACATCCCAGAACTACGGAAATCAGTTAAGCAATACCTTCCTAACATGCTCCACATCAGACACCCTAGGATGACATTAGGAAGCTGTCCCCGCCTCCCCAGCTACTGGGAGCAACCCTCTGTCCCGCTGCCCCTAGATACGGGAAGACAAAAAAATGCTGGAAGCAACTGTCTCACCCGTCTCCCCCCATGCTCTGGCCCTCCCCACCCCAATCAGTGGTCCACGTGTACACAGCCTTCTCAACTACACAAACATCATCCACAAAATAAATAAGCTTAAGAAACAATAAAAAGGGCCCAGCTCAATAGCGTAGTGGTTAAAGTCCTCGCCTTGAACGTGCTGAGATCCCATATGGGCGCTGGTTCCAACCCCAGCAGCCCCGCTTCTCTTCCAGCTCCCTGCTTGTGGTCTGGGAAAGCAGCTGAGGACGGCCCAAAGCCTTGGGACCCTGCACTCGTGTGGGAGACCCGGAATAAGCTCCTGTTTGCTGGCTTCAGATTGGTTCAGCTCCAGCCATTGCGGCCGCCTGGGGAGTGAACCATCAGATGGAAGATTTTCCTCTCTGTCTCTTCTTCTCTCTGTATATCTACCTTTCCAATAAAAATAAATCTTTAAAACAAACAAACAAAAACAAAAGGAAGAACCGGGGCCCCGTTGTCCATGGACCAGCTGCAGCTGCTACAGGCAGACACAGAATGACACAGATGGAGGACCTGTCTCTGTCCCTCTCTCGGACAGCTCTAAACAATCTGTGCGGGCCTTATCGCACATCAGGTACCATGACCAAAACAAATTCTGCACCTAGAATCTTCCAACAGGTTAAAACCATCCTGCACTCTGCGGACCAAAAACCCTGTCTAGACAGACCAGGTGGGATCACCAAGTCCAAGACAGATGGGCGGGGCTGCTGTTACAGGGCACACGTGAGTGCCGGCTGGAGTGCTGGCCGCTCCGCTCTAGGCTCTTGAGTGTCCTCAGCAAAGCAGCAGCAGATGGCTCCAGTGCCGAGCCACTGCTAGCCAGCGGAGGGACACGGCGACGGCCACCGGGTACCCAACAGGAGGCGGAGTGGCTCAGAATTCTCACATGCATCCGTGCAAAGCACCTGTCGTTCTTCCCGCAACGTCCTGGAAAATGACACACTAGACACCCATCCGTGGTCCCTGGCGGGCAGAGGGAGCGGGCGAAGGAGCTGCTTCCTCTCACGACGGTGCAACCCTACTGCCCGTCAACAAGGCTGAGGCAGTGCTGCGGTCCAGCACCCACGCCACACCGGCAGAACACGACCCCAGAGGTGGAGCTCCAGCGTGGACACAGGGTCCAGGCCGCAGCCTCACCAAGTGGCACTGGGGCACAGGAGCATCCCGCAGGACACGATGCAACGGCCACGGCCTAACGGACAAGCCCTAAGGCAGCGCTGGAACCCCACCTGGGCTGCTGCACAGGTCGGGGAGGAGACCCCGAGGAGGCTCCAAGCTTCAGCCTAGCCCACCCCCATCCGGGAAGACCTGCCTCTCATTCTTCCAAGTAAACAAACGTACAGGCAGAGAACGGGGGAGGCGGCGCAGTGAGGGAGCAGGCCCGCAGGAGGCCAGCCTGGACATCCCTCGGCCGCAGGAGGCCCCGGGCGGGCGGCACAGAGGCTCCGTGCCTGGGTCCTCCCGGCGCGTGCCCGCTGCCCGCCGCCCCGCAGCAAACACCGACAGGCCCGGGCTCCTCGCTCAGCCCGCGGCACGACGACGGCCGCGCCTCCGCTCCTCGGCCGCCCCGCACAAAGCCGGCGCAGCCCCGACCCGGCCGTGCGCCCTCCGAGGCCCCGGCCGCCCGCCACCCTGGTCCGGCCGCCCGCCAAGGCCCCGCCGTCCGCCGCTCGCCCACCGCCGTCCGCCGCTCGCCCACCGCCGTCCGCCGCCCCGGCCCCCTCAGGCCCCGCGGTCCGCCGCCCCGGCCCCCTCAGGCCCCGCCGTCCGCCGCCCCGGCCCCCTCAGGCCCCGCCGTCCGCCGCCCGCCCACCGCCGTCCACCTCCGCCCACCGCCGTCCGCCCCGGCCCCGCCGTCCGCCCGCCCCGGCCCCCTCAGGCCCCGCCGTCCGCCGCTCGCCCACCGCCGTCCGCTCGCCCCGGCCCCCTCAGGCCCCGCCGTCCGCCCCGGCCCCTCGAGCCCCGCCGTCCGCCCCGCCCACCGCCGTCCGCCGCTCGCCCACCGCCGTCCGCCGCTCGCCCACCGCCGTCCACCTCCGCCCACCGCCGTCCGCCGCCCTGGCCCCTCGGGCCCCGCCGTCCGCCCCGGCCCCGCCGTCCACCTCCGCCCACCGCCGTCCGCCGCCCCGGCCCCCTCGGGCCCCGCCGCCCGCCCCGGCCCCCTCAGGCCCCGCCGCCCGCCCCGACCCCGCTCACCCGCGCGCTCGGGCCCGGCCTCGGCCGCGTCTGGAGGGCGGGAGCCGCGCACCGCCGCCGCCGCTCGCGCATCCGGGTCCGCGGCGGGAGGAAGCGGAGGCGCGCGGGTACGGCGAGCCGGAAGGGACGCACTGGCGCCCGCGCGCCGTGACGCCACTGCTCGCCGCGCGGGGGCGCCCGACACAGAGCCGCTGCGGAGGACGCCGACACTCCGAGGGGCGAGGCCGTGGGCTTCAGCCACCATCCCAGCCGGACCCGGGTTCGACTCCCAGCTGCTCCACTCCCCATACGGCTCCCTGCTGCACCCAGAGGCCTGAAACTTTAACCGGGAAGGTGAGGCAGCCACAAAGGGCCACAGCACGAAATCTCCAAGACAAGCCAGCCCACAGAGGCAAGACGCCCACAGGGGCTGAGAAGCCCCCAGGGGCCCATACCCACACTGAAATGCCACATGGGAGGTAGGGGGTGATGACCGAGTACCTCTGGGTGGGGGGCCAGGACAGCGCCCAGTTCACAGCGTTGGCTTGCCTGTCGCCAGCTGCGGGGGGAGGCCTAGGTCTCCCGGATTGACAAAAAAGGGTTGCTATGGGCACCAGGAGTGGCTGGTGCCAACACAAGGATCAGCTTTACCAGGGGTTAAAACCGAAAACCTCAACCAAACCCAAAGGTTTCAACCTCCCCGCATGGCACAGGAGCCGGCCTAACTGGAGCGGTGGGTGTCCCGAGTAGTGTGGACTGCTGTTCCTTAGGCTTGCACCACCTCAGAAACCTAGGATGCTCTTCTGTTGGCTCAGAAACGGAGGCCGGGCTCAGGTGCTTCCCACTCGGGCTACAGCAGTACACTTCCAACAGCTTCCTGCTCATGCAGCCCTGGGGCAGCAGGCGATGGCCCAAGGACTCAGGTCCCTGCCACCGCAGGCAGGTATGGATGTGCTCCCAGGCATTGGGAATGTGAACCAGTGGGTGGGGTCTCCTCTGTCCTGTTGGCAGATTTGCATATTCAGGCTTATTCTTACAACCCATCCTGATTTAGCCAGTTGTTCTGGCGCCATTTATTTAACTTGAAAGGAAGACTTAGAAACGAAGAGATTATCCCATCCACTGGCTCACTCCCCAAGTGACAGCAATGACTGTAGCTGAGCCAAACCGAAGCCAGGAGCCAGGAGCCTCCTCCAGGTCTCCCACGTGGGTGCAGGGTCCCAAAGCTTTGTGCTGTCCTCTGCTGCTTCCCCAGGCCACAGCAGGGAGCTGGATGGAAGTGGAGCAGCTGGGACATTAACCTGTGCCCACATGGGATGCTGACACTGCAAGGCAGATGAACCAGTTCAGCCATCATGTCATCCCCTCTAACTTTTTTTTAATTAAAGATTTATTTTGGGTGCAGTGCATGGCTCAGTTGGCTAAGCCCCTTCAAGCATCAGATCCCATATGGGTGCCAGTTCATGTCCCAGCTGCTCTGATTCCTGTCCAGCTTCCTGCGTGTAGCCTGGGAAGGCAGCTGAGAAAGGCCCAGGTCATTGGGCCCCTATAACCATGTAGGAGACCCCCCCAAAAATTCCTGGCTCCTGGCTTTAGACCACTGTGGCTGCTTGGAGAATGAACCAGCAGATGAAAGATCTGTCTCTCCTTTTCATAGATCTGCCTTTACAATAAAAATAAATAAATCTTTAAAAAAAAAATCTCACTCTGTTGAAAAGCCTGAGCGCAGACGGGACCCTGACCTTAACACACCTCACACAGTGAGGTCAAAAAGTGCAATACTGGGCCCAGTGCGATGGCCTAGTGGCTAAAGTCCTCGCCTTGAACAGGCGTAGATCCCATGCAGGCGCCAGTTCTAATCCCAGCAGCCCTGCTTCCCTTCTAGCTCCCTGCCTGAGGCCTGGGAAGGAAGCTGAGGACGGCCCAAAGCCTTGGGACCCTGCACCCATGTGGGAGACTCAGAGGAAGCTCCTGGCTCCTGGCTTCAGATTGGCTCAGCTCCAGCTGTTGTGACCACTTGAGAAATGAATCAGTGGATGGAAGATCTTCCTCTGTCTCTCCTCCTCTTTGTATATCTGACTTTGCAATAAATAAATCTTGAAAAACAGAAAAGAAAGTGCAGTACCATGTGGCAGAAACCACACGCTGGAAGGCTGCATGGGGCAGGTCAGCAAGTGCAAGGCCACTGCCGTCCACGCACCTGGCTCTGCAAGTGTCTGCCATGAGGGCAGTGGTGAGAGGCCAACAGGGCCAGTCCAGCCTCCTGCCTCAAAGCAGCCACTCTGTCCAGGGTTGGCCACACACCCATGTCCAGGCAGCGAAGGAGGTGCTGGGTCAGGCCCTGCTCACTGTGTCCAGCACCCTGCAACCCGAAAGCCTTTGCCACAGACCTGGACCAACGCTACCTGCGGCCCCCACGCCCAAGGCTGCTCTTCTTTGGGGAGGGGGACAAGGAAGACAGAGAGGTCCCCAAGTCAAGGGCCTCCAGAGAGTAGTAGGAGCCAACCAGCAGAGGCCACAGAGAACCATATGAGGCAGGACAGTCGGCATTCACTCATGGCCACCACACACGCCCGCTGCAGTCCTGTTCCCAGCACACCAGTGCTCCCATGTCCGAGAGCAAGGACGGGCCCAAGAGGATTTAGTCAGCAAAACTTATATTTCAGAAAATCACTTCCTTAAAAAAATAGCATCTTCCCATGCCGAGCAGACGCGAGATGTCAGCAGGTGAGTTGTGCAGTGACCCCAGCTGGGCACCCTGGAGTTGGGAGCCAAGCCCGTCCGTGTCCAGCAGCTGCTGCTCCACCCTCAGGCCGATGGCTCCTGGTGCCCCACAGGCAGCTCCCGTGGCCTCAATCGCTCTCTCCGTTGCCCTCACTGCCTGGCAGTGGGCTAGGGACCTGCAGAAGGCAGCAGAGAAGCAAGAATGAGCCACGTGCTCCTGCCACCTTCTCTCACAGGTGGTCATCACAGGGCCACAGAACAGCAGATGTGACACATCTCATAAGGGCGCTGCCAAGTGGCAGGGACCACCCAGAAGCAGAGCCTGGCACGGCCACGCTGCCGCTCACCAGAACCACTCCTGAAGCGTGCAGCTTTCACGGAGGGGTGGGGATCCAGCTTCTGTCAGGCCCAGACGCCCTGATGAGTCTCTGGGCTTGCCCCTGTGCCTCCAGGTGCCAGGAGGACCCTCACCCCTGAAAATGACCAGGAGAAGGCACAGAGCTAAGAACCACAGGGGAAGTTCAACTTCAGACTCCACTTGTGTTCTTAATAAACTGCTGTCTGGCCTAGGAATGCGTTTGCCTAGTGCCCAAGGCCCATGCCCCTCTCCACCCGACTCCAGCTTCCTGATGCTGCAAACCCTGGGAGACAGTGGTACACGGGACCCTGCCCCCACACGGGAGATGTACACTGAGTTCCTGGCTCCTGGCTGTAGCCCAGCCAGGATGCCCTAACACCCTGCAGCCCACCACTTCCTGTCTCTTAATCAACATATGCTCAAGTGAGCCGTGCCAGGTCCCAGCAGGGATAGACCCATGCACACTAAAGCTGGCTGCGTTCCTCGGGGTACACAAAGCGCTCAGTGGGAGCAAAGCATTGGCCCAGCACCGAGACTGCCTTCCAGGATGAGAGCATCAGTGAGGGCCCACACAGAAGCACCCACCCACCTGGCAGGGGGTTCACTGACACCACACTGACTGGGGGGAGCAGCGAGGCCAAAGCCATGGCACACCTGGACTCCTAAGCACCAGGTGAGGGGCATGGGTCAGAGACTGCAAGGCCCTGGCGGGGGAGGGGATGATACAAGCCCTCAGCTCCCTGTACCAATACACACTCGTTACTGGCTGGGACCTAGCCTCTGAGTGCGCCCTGGAGGTGCGGCAGGGCACCCTACCTTGGCACCCGAGCTGGCCGTGGCATGGAAGTTGTGCACGGGCAGCGTGCTCAGCCACTGGGCCATGGAGCGCTCCCCGCGCTCCGTGCTGATGATGGCGGGGTAGATGTGCTGCTCCGTGAAGGCCGCCACCTTGGCCTCCTCCTGCGCCCAGTCTAGCGGCTCGTGCAGCCCATCATTGCCGAAGCGCTGGTTGTACTTCTCAAAGTGCACCCTCTCCAGGACGAGGCCCAGCCCCGGCGCCTTGGGCACATCCACTTTCTCCTCGCCCCAGCTGCGCTCGAGCACGCTCTCAGGCGCATAGCCCTTCACGATGGCCACCACCAGGCCCACCATCTTCCGGATCTGGTGCATCATGAAGCTTTGGCCCTTCACGCGGATCACCGCGAACTCCAGGCCCTCGCGCACGAACGGCTCTTCACAGTAGGCCTGCAGCACGTAGCGTCGCGCGCTGGGCTCCCGGGGCCCCTTCTGGGAGGTGAAGTTGTGGAAGTTGTGGGTGCCCTGATAACAGGACAGAAGCCTGTTGACCCGCTGCAGGGTCTCGGGGCTCAGCCGGTAGGACTCATCCTGGGGGTCCCGGTCCTTATGGGCAAAGGCGAAGGTGGGCAGCATGTAGAAGTATGTCCTGGCATCACACTTGTTCTTGGAGTTGAAGCCTCCTGTGACCCTCTTCAGTCCTGCGGGGGAGGAACATGAGGAGCCGCCGGGGACAGAAACATGGCTACGGCCACAGGAACCGTCCCCTCCCGGGCATGGCGAGACTCGCTCTAGAGCTGGTTTCTCAGCAGCCACACAAGACATCCCCTTGGGTGTCCAGAGCATGGCCAGAACACAGCCACCCTTGCTCACCTCCTCCCTGGGCACTGGCCTCCCAGGAACAGTTCAGCAAGGACCTGTGGGAAACCCAGTGGAACAAAACAGAAGTAGCAGGGCTAAGCTTCCACCTGCAGCACCAGCATCCCATGTGGGTGCTGGTTCAAGTCCTGGCCATTCCACTTCCGATCCAGTTCCTTGCTGTTGTATCTGGGAAGGCGGAGGATGATGGCCTGCACCTGTGTATCTCTCTGTTTCTCCTTCTTCAACTATGCCTTTGAAATGAGAATCTTAAGAAATGGAAAGCTCTGTGCAACTGTGTCCATCGGTCTGCCTGCACAGTAAGCTGCCACCAGAACCAGCAAGGTTGAGGGGCGACTGGCAGAGGAAGTGCCATGACGCTGCCTGGGCGTGTCAAGGGCCCAGGTTGGAGTTGGTGCTCCCTCCATTAAGGCCTCCTGGAGGTTAGAAGGTGACAGTGGCTCAAACATGCACAGTGTCCCCAACTCCAAGCTCCCAGCTTCCTGGTCTGGCCACCGTGGGCACTGCAGGTTGAACCAGCAGAACAAACATGGGATGTCTTACTCTGCGTGTTTCAAATTTTTAAGTTGTTTAAAAAAATACATTTATTTAAAAGGCAGAGTTACAGAAAGGGAGGGGAGGCTGAGACTGGTCAGTCTTTGTCGTCTGGTCAGTCCCCACATGGCCACATGGCGAGGGCTGAAGCCAGTCTCCCATGTGGGTACAGGGCCCCAAACATTTGGGCCACCTTCCACTGCTTTCCCAGACGCACCAGCAGGAGCAGCTAGGATAGGAACCAGTGCCCATGTGGATGCCCATGCCGCAGGCACCAGTCCAACTTACAACACTTTGAGCCTGTCTGCAACAGGTGCGGCTGTGGGTTGAAGGCTCCACCTGGAAGAACCCAGCCACCAACCTTGGCACTGGAGCTCAGGAGCTGCCAGGAACCATGCTCTGCAGTCCTCGGTCTCATTCCACAGTCGTTTTTCTGGATGACCAGTGCTTCTCTTGTGTTAAAGATTCAATTTCAGGCCTTGCATGGTGGTGCATCAGGCCAATCCTCCTCCTACAGTGCTGGCATCCCTGTGGGCACCGTTCCTGTCCCAGCTGCTCCAGTTCCTATCTAGCTCCCTGCTTGTGGCAGTAGAGGACGGCCCACAGCCTTGAGAAGCTACACTAGAGATCCGGAAGAAGCTCCTGGCTTCAGATCAGCTCAGCTCTGACGTTTGTGGCCATTTGGGGAGTGAACCAGTGCATGGAAGATCTTTCTGTCTCTCCTTTTCTCCATAAACTTACTTTTCCAATAAAAAAAAAAAAAAAAAACACCTGAGCAGCTTGTACCATGGTGCTTTGAGACAGAGCCAAATAACGTGTACATTGGGGGAAACGGGGCGTAACAATCCTTAGCCTGGGGGCCACCATCCAATATGGGCACTGGTTCAAGTCCCTACTGTTCCACTTTCGATCCAATTGCCTGCCCATGTGCCTGGGAAAGCAGCAGAGAATGGTCCCACGTTGGGAGACACAGCTGGAGCTCCTGGCTCTGGCCTGGCCCAGCCACGCAGGGAGTGAACAAGCACATGAAGATTTCTTCCCACCCTACCTACTTTCAAACAAATAAATGAAGAAATAAAAAGGCCCCAAATTCCATGAATCCTTTTATAAAAAGGGCTGGCTGGCACCGGTACCAACCCTGATTTGGATCAACATGAGACACCTGTGTCTACAGGTAGTTCACTGGCCCCAGCCCTACGGCAGGCGGGATGGCCCAGCCCTTCGGCAGGCGGGATGGCCCAGCCCTACGGCAGGCGGGATGGCCCAGCCCTTCGGCAGGCGGGATGGCCCAGCCCTTCGGCAGGCGGGATGGCCCAGCCCTTCGGCAGGCGGGATGACCCAGCCCTTCGGCAGGCGGGATGACCCAACCCTTGCAGCCTCCCCCGACAGCATCTCCGCTCACCCAAAATGCGAATGTGGGACGGCAGGTGGCTGTTGATCTTCTCCAGAATGTCGTCAATCAGCCACACCTTCAGGGACACAACCTGACCGGCAGCAGACACACCCTGGGAGGAAAGACAGGGACAGGTGGCCCGCCAGCTCCACTCCCAGCACAAGCCCCGGAAGCAAAGCGGCACTGCCCGGGTCTGCTGAGGCCACCAAGAACCATGAGGAAGACATGAGGAAGAGGAGGCACAAGAACACCCAGTGCAGCCTCCTTCCCTCGGTGGCCACCCTACCCCCTCTTCCCCAGGGGCCCATTCTGGCAGCTGTGCCCAACAGAGAAGGCAAAGGCAGACCAGAAAAAGACAGTCTTGGCCTCAGCAGGCTCCTACGTCAGGCCACGCCTCAGCTGCCAATGTGGCTATGCAGGCCGCCACCTACCTTGTCTGTGCGGGCACAGCGCTGGAAGGACATCTTCCTCATGTCTTCGCCATGGTTCTCCGGGATACAGCCCGAGCGGACCAGGGCGGCCACCAGGTCGTCTTCAATGGTCCTGAACTGCGAGGACCCCACATTCCTCTGTAGAAGACAGGAGCCAGGAGCTTCTTCCGAGTCTCCCACTCGGGTGCAGGGTCCCAAGACTTTAGGTCGTCCTCAACTGCTTTCCCAGGCCACAGGCAGGGAGCTGGCTGGGAAGTAGAGCGGCCGGGACATGAACTGGCACATCGATGGGATCCGAGCGCACAGAGGTGGGGGATTAGCCAGTTCAGCCAACACACTGACCCCACATTTTGTTTTCATTTGGAAGGCACAAAGATCTTCTACTGCTGCTCACTCACCAACACCCCAACAGTAATTCTAGGGGTGCTGGCCTCTGGACTGCACACGCCTGGTTTCACTTCTCCCCTGGACACCTCCAGGCACTCCACACAGCCTGGCAGCAGGATCCGAGACCCTGCCTGCACACCACAGCCCAGCATTGGAGAGCACCAGTCTGCTGTGCTGGGCACCACCTGGCACAGGGCGCCTGGATGGAATTGAGGGACACTCAGGGCAGCAGCACAAGGCCTGGCAGGTCTCTCCTTGAACTCCTGAGTCCAGGGCCACGTGACGCCCCAATTCCAGCTTCACGTCAATGTACCCCGGAAGGCTCAGGCACCTGTCACTCACGTAGAGACCACAGAAATTCTGGCTTCAGCCTGGTCCAGCATTGGGAATGAGCCAGTGGATGCCACCAAACTATGCCTTGCAAATACAAATTAAGTCCTGCTCATTTGGGCCTATGTGACTTTCTTTTAAGATTTACTTTTATTGGGCCTGGCGTGGTGGCGCAGTGGCACAGTGGTTAAGATCCTCGCCTTGCACACCCGGGATCCCATATGGGTGCCGGTTCTAATCCTGGCAGCCCCTCTTCCCATCCAGCTCCATGCTTGTGGCCCGGGAAAGCAGTCGAGGACAGCCCAAAGCTTTGGGACCCTGCACCCGCGTGGGAGACCCGGAAGAGGCTCCTGGCTTCTGATCGGCATAGCATCAGCTGTTGTGCTTACTTGGGGAGTGAATCATCCGACAGAAGATCTTCCTCTCTGTCTCTCCTCTCTGTATATCCGCCTTTCCAATAAAAATAAAATAAATCTTTTAAAAAAAAAGATTTACTTTTATTAAAAAAGGCAGATTTACAGAGATTAGAAGACACAGAAAGATGTTCCATCTGTTGGTTCTCTCCCCAAGCAGCCACAATGGCCGGGGCTAAGCGGATCCTGAGCCAGGAGCCTCTTCCAGGTCTCCCACACGGGTGCAGGTCCCAAGGCTTTTCCTCGACTGCTTTCCCAGGCCACAAGCAGGGAGCCAGATGGGAAATGGAGAAGCTTGGACACGAATTGGCACCCTTATGGGATGCCGACGCTTAAAAGGTGAAGATTCAGCCACTGAGTCACCGTGTCAGGCCCACAACTTATACAACTGGGTTAAGAATCAGGACCCCAAAACGGGCACAGCCATTACAGGAAATGCCAGCATCCCATATGGGCACCGGTCGGTGTGTCCTGGCTGCTCCACTTCCTATTCAGCTCCCAGCTTAGGCCTGGCCCGGGTCCTAGGAACACTGCACCCACAAGGGAGCCAACCCTAACCCTGGAGAAGTTCCCGGCTGCCCCAGTCATGGGGAGCGAATCAGTGAACAAGATCTCTGTCCCTCCTTCCAGTAACTTTTCGAGTAACAAGAAGAAGGCACAGGGCCTGTTCCTGCTCCTTCAGGCAGCCCTTCCCCGGCGCGCCCCGGCTCTCACCGCACGCCGTGGTAGCCCTTCCCCGGCGCGCCCCGGCTCTCACCTGCACGCCGTGGTAGCCCTTCCCCGGCGCGCCCCGGCTCTCACCGCACGCCGTGGTAGCCCTTCCCCGGCGCGCCCCGGCTCTCACCGCACGCCGTGGTAGCCCTTCCCCGGCGCGCCCCGGCTCTCACCTGCATGCCGTGGTAGCCCTTGCCCGAGTAGGCCAGCAGCAGCACTATCTTCCTCTTGGGGAGCTTCCGGGCCGGCGCGTCGCCCTCGCCGCTCCTCAGCTTCTTGGCCTGCGGCTCCGCGTCCTCCCAGGGCCGCGCTCCCGGCCGGCCGTCCTCAGGACGGGGCGCGAAGCCGGCGGCCGAGGGCGTCCCCAGGTTGCCGGCCATCGGGCTCGAGCTGCGGAGAGGGGCGGCGTGAGCGCGGAGGGCGGGCGCGGGCCCTGCGCGCCCCGCACGCGCCTCCCCGGCGGCCGCAGCGCATTACCCGAGGGCGCGTCCGCGGCGCGGGGTGGCCCGCAGCAGCGCCCCGGCCGCCCGCAGCAGCGCGCCCGGAACCCCCATGCGCCCGCGCCCGCCGCGCCGGCTTCCCGGCAGCCCCGCGCCCGTCGCACCGCGCGCCCCCACCCCGACGCACTCACGCGCCGCGCACCGGGCCGGGCCACACCACGTGGTCGCGAGGCGCGCCGGGGAGGGCTGCGGACGGCGGCCGCGCGCGGACACGGGCCGGGCCGGGGCGGGGCCTGCGCTCCGAGGCACGGGAGGCGGAGCCCGAGGCGAGCCGTGCGCGGAGGGCGCGGCCTCTGGCCCCGCGCCGTCCAGGATGGAAGTGGACGGCAGGAATAGCGGGGCCGGAGGATTCCGGGCTCACCCGAAGGAGTGAGGACCCAGCGAGTGCGCTTACGGCAGACCGCCAGCCATTCCACAGCTATGCTATGCCCAGCCTTCTTTCTCCGTTTAAACGTTTGATTTTTTTGGAAGACAGGTTTATCTAGACAAGGAAAGAGAGAACGATGTCCCATCTGCTGGTTCACTCCCCAGATGGCCACAGCTGCTAGAACTGAGCCTGTCAGGAGCCAGGAATTTCTTCTGGGTCTCCCACGCAGGGGCAGGGTGATGGTTACCACGGTGGCCCCAGAAGGGTGGAGTTTGCCTCCAACCAGACCAAACGATGGCGGAATTCTGGTGGGCCCCTCAGGCGGTGAGACCATCCTTGCACCGATGAGGGACGCAGACCCATATCCCCCCACCCATAAGGGCCGAGGCGACCCACCCCCGTTTGGACTTCCGTGTGGAGGAGAATTTAAAAGGGCCCCTTCCCTATCTCTTCCACCCTCTTATTTCTCTGCAGCTCACTCCTTACATCTGTCTCTTTCGCTGCATGCAGAAGGGAAGCCCGTGACTGTGGCTCCCTGAGATAAAGGCCATCTAAATTAATTTCATATATTTGGCTGAATTATTCTTTCCCTGGTGGTCGGCAAATCTAACATTTGGCAATCAACAAATCTAACACAGGCCGTCCTCCACTGCCTTGCCAGGCCACAAGCAGGGAGCTGGATGAGAAGTGGGCCAGTCAGGACATGTATTGGCACCCATATGAATCCCAGCTTGTTGCAGGGAACCCAGCAGAATGGCTCAATTAGTTTAAACAATTCTTAACAGAAGCAAAAAAAAAAAAACCACACACACATACACAAAAAAAACAAAAAATGTGGCCACTGTTTTACAGGTTTTATTTTTTTCAAGATTTGTTTTATATTTATTGCAAAATCAGATATACAGAGGAAGATCTTCTGTCCACTGATTCACTACTCAAGTGGCCACAATGGCTGGAGCTGAGCCAACCCAAACCCAGGAGCCAGGAGCTTCCTCCAGGTCTGCCATGCAGGTGCAGAGTCCCAAGGCCTGGGAGAAGGCAGTGGAGGAATGCACTGCCACAGGAGGGTTAGAAGGGTCACAGACACACGGTGGCTGGGGAGGTACAAGATGAGGCCAGCAGTGCTGGTCACCATCAGTGGCCTGGTGCCCTGACCTGCTGACCGTGGACCAAGGCCCCTACTCTGGGGAGCTCTAGAGGACAGTGCTTTTACAACCAAGTATAGATTCCAATCGATTTTTTTTTTTTTTACCAAAGCAAATGGACCTTTTAACCCCATTTTTTTTTTCATAAATTTAATGCCTTTATGAAAAGCCGGAGTGACAGAGATGAAAAGAAAGATCTTCCATCTTCTGGTTCACTTCCCAAGTGACAGCAACAGCTTGGGCTGGGCTGGACTGAAGCTAGAATCCGAGAACTCCCTTTAGGTCATGTGGTTGGTTGCAGGAACCCAGGCATTGCTCTCCCAGGTGCATCGGCCAAGAACCAGCTGGGTCTCAAACTGGCACTCAGATGGCATGCCAGTGTTAGAGGTTCCACCTTCCTGCCAGTCCAGACCTTGGAGGCATCTGTGCTCAGGGTCCCACCACCCCCGGGAGGCCGGATGCAGTCCCAGGCTCGTGCTCAGGCCTGACCAGGCCCAGGCATTTGGAGAAAAAAACAGGGGATAGGAGTTTTTTCTCTCTTTGCTTCTCAAATAAATGAATAAATTAAACATGTATTTCATGGGGCTGAGATTGTAGTTCAGGAGGTTAAGCCACTGCTTGGAAGGTCTACACTCCTGACCCAAGGGCTTGTTTGAGCCCCAGCTGCTATAGCTGCTACAGGGCCTGGAAGGTGGAGGACTTGGGGGCCCTGCCACCCATTTCGAGATCATGACAAAGTTCCAGACCTGGTGTGGCCCGTGGGTGGAGTATCTCACACACTTTCTGATTTCCAGATGATTTAGTTGTTGCTGTGGTCCTGACTGCCCATCTGAAGATATCCAAACCAGGAAGAGCACACTTGAAATGGACGCAGTTGAACTGCATCTCAACAAAGCTGTCCAGGATCCAGGCAGCAACAGCTAGAGAAGGCAGGCAGCGAGCAGCGGATTCATGTACAGGGCACAGGGAACGTTCTGTCTGCTAGTAATCCGTCGTATGCAATGGTGGGTCTTCGTGACAAAGCATAACATTACGAGAGTGAGAAGTTGTGCCTGCTTAGGTGATGGGCTACTGGACAGGCAATCACAGGACAGTGACCCCTGGACCCCACGTCAGAGTCCACAGTTGCCACCCAGGCTGCACCTGGTGCATACAGGAGGGCTTTCCCACACACGGTCATCCTATTGTCAGGCTAGAGGAGCAGCCAGCAGCCACGTCCCTGGTGGGCATGGGGCCACAGTGCTGCTGGGACTGCCAAACTGCTGACCTGGGTGTTCAGCCTGAGACCCAGGAAGCTGAGGACGGAGTCCATCCACTCCTCAGTGCCCCCCAGTCCACCTGCACGGGGCTCCGCCAGTGGGGGCAGGCTAGCTCCCAGGGGCGTTGTCTCTAAGTTCTCCAGCCCCTCTGGCCCCCCCTGGCGGATGCACATCAGCCTTGGCTGCTGCCCACTTATGTCTTTGCCAACTGGCACTGCCAGCTGTCCAGCTTGCCTATAAAGGCTGTCTCAGGTCATTCTGCCTGTGGGGGGCACTCACAAGCCCCAGGGAGCCCAGCTTTGCTGCCTGGGAATGAATCTGGGAGGTGGGCCATGCAAACTTAGTGGCCAGCACCAAAGCCCTGGGGTAGAAGCCGGGCTAGCCCTTCTCCTTCAGGTGAGCAGTGGCCAGGGCCAGGAGCCGGCCATCAGAGAGAACACAGAACACTGACAGGACAAAGCAGTAGGCAGGGATGCTGAAGGACAGCAGCCGAGGCGGGCAGGGCTGGCCTCTGCATGGGTCCTTGCACCCCTTTTCTCTTCAGTGGGGTCCCCCTGTCTGCCTCTGCAGCTTTTGGAGCAGGGAGTATGAATGAGCCCCATGGGCAGTAGACACACACCAGCCAATCAGAAGCAAGGACACTCATTGTGGGAATGGGCTGGGAAGGGCATGTCAGCAGTGTTGGCCTACACCACCACCCCTTTGACATGGGCGCCAGGACAGAACACCTGGGGGCGGGGGCAGCCACAAGAGCAGGCTGTGGCCCTGGAGGACACAGGTGTGTCCCGCCCCAGTGCCTGTGAGGAGTGAGCAGAGTACTGACAAACTCTTAGGGCATGGCAGGAGGAAGGGAAAGAAGCAGGGCTCCTTGGCCGCACCTGCTGTTTTCCATCCTCTGAGGGCAGCCTGAAGCCTGGTCTGTGTGGCCCTGCCTCACCCCTTGCACAGCAGCTTCCCTAATTATCCAGATCTGTAAGCATTGGATGGCCCACAGTGGGCAAGTGGACAAACTAACCCACTGAGAAGAGGACATGGCTCAGTGCTAAGAATATGGCCAGGGAGCCAGGAAGATGCAGAGAACTGCAGCTGCCAGTCTAGGGTGGCAGCTCAGCAACAGACAGGTAAGAAGGCAGAAGACAAGGGGCTTGGTTAAAGCCATCAGGGTGCAACTGGCCGGACCCATGAACCTCCATGACAACTCTGCCCCGCGCCCCCTAAGCCTGAGCCTGGACTGGCTACCTGGGGAAGCCATGGCACCCAACACTATGTCACACCCAGCCTTTCTAGAATCTGAAGTCCATCGTGGCAGCTTCAATGACAAATGTGTAAACACAGGGACTGTACATCAAGGCCATGGCACAAATGCAGGCAGGGATGGTCCCTCTTGTTGAACTCATGTTGCCTATAGTTGTGACATTCTCTGCTGGGACACCTCACAGGGCCCAGGACCCCCACTCAGAGGAACTCACCCTGGGCTTTGCCCCCAAGGCTGGGCCTGCCACGGTTACAGGCCTAAGGCCCTGGGCACCTCCTACAGACAGAAGCCTCATGAGACCACCCTGCCAGGGCATGCACAACACCGAGGCAACAATTCAAAGGTTTATTTCCACTTAATCTGATGTGATACAATGTAACGGAAGAGACTCACATAGTATGTTTCCAAATAGACAAAGTCTATTTGATAGTCTCGGGAGAACGGGACACACACCCACAGGCGTTCACGGCTGGGGCACCAGGCACACAGGGCACATGGACACCAGGATGTAGGCGCTTCCCTGCAATAAATACCAACACGGGACATGTGCCGGGGAGCTCTGCTTTCTTCCAAGTCCAAGCACAGTGGCGATATTTCAAGTATTGCAAAAAAAAAAACACGTGTGTGTGGCATGACCTCTGAACCCCCTCCTATGTATGGGTGCCACAGACCCACAACCACCTCCTATGGACTCTCTGTGGTACATTCAAGTAGATTCAGGCAGAGCTGGGCCCCGAGGCCACAGCAGCCCCAGCTTGTGCTGCCCTGGAAGCCGCAGGGACTGCCCGTCCTGGCAGAACAGCAGGGCCATGACAGTGACGAGGCTAAAGCTCAGCGGGGAGGGCTTGCATATGCTGTCGTGTGTCGCATGAGACATTCACTTGCACTTGTCCACCATGAGTGCAACACATCTACCACCATGTGCCCCAGGGCTGCACCATGGGGACACCCAGTCAAACATACACTCAGCCAGCCACTCATGTGCCCAGCCACACACATACAGTCGCAGTCACACTGGCACCCAGCATCGTCTGCCCCCACAGTAAGGCCAAGGTTGTCCTTGTTCTTGCCTTAAATGCTTCCAAGTATTCTTCTTTCAAGAAAAAGTGAGCTACAAAAAAAATGCAACGTGTTCTGGGAGGAAAGGCAGATGCCGACCTGGTGTGTTGGGGCAGGAGCTCGGCCTCAGTCCGGCTGCCAGGAGCAGACACAGGCAGCCCAACAGCTGGTGCACACGCGCAATGGGCGTGATGGGTGTGTGAGGGCACAGACCCACATGTGACAGGGCTGGAGCTGGACAGCAGACGCTGTTCTCTGTGTGATGAGGCCAGTCTCCATCTGCATAAAGTGCCCGGGTGATTGACAAGGACGAGGAGAAGAAAGGCTCTCTTTGGCGTGGAGTCAGCAGCGCTGTCTCAGGGCCTTGACTGTCCTGGGTTCCTGGCAAGTGGCAGGGTCTCCGTGTGCCTACCTGCCACCACTTGGCGCCCCTGCCTGGCATGGGAGGTTCTGAGTCTGCTGCACAGGGGGAGGAGCTGCCTGGAATACCACAGCACAGCCACGTCCAGCGGCCCCAGGACCGGTGGGCAGCACACAAGCCCACCCTGTGGGGTCGGCAGGGTGTGGCAAGTTGGGGTCCGAGGGGTCAGGCACCGATGCCAGTCAGCAGAGCCGAGAGCCTCCGCTCGATGCACAGTTTGCCTACGGGAAGAGGAGGTGTAAGGCGGACACACCTCAGGGCCGCCCCCCAAGGCCACCCCCACTTACACTTGGCGATGTTCTCGATGTCGGCCTGGTCCGAGAGCAGCTGCTGCAGCCCTTCCAGGAGCAATAGGGCCTTGTGATAGCGCGGCACACAGCCCTCATGGTGCTGGAACATCTCATCCAGGGCGGTCGCTTGCACCTGCAGGGGGCCAGAGGATTGGAGGGCGGCCCGACTCAGCTGAGTGGCTGCAGGAGACAGCAGGCACAGGAGCCGGGGCCAAGGCCAGGCTGGGGCCCTGCGCTGTGATGGGCACCCCTGCCTAAGCAGCATTACTGGGAATGGCACCACTCCTTGGGGACCAGGGGCTGCACAGGGAAAGGCCTCCAGTGGCCAGGCCCCTCACTGAGGAGGTAGGGAGCATGCCTGGCAGCTGCCTGGGGGAGGGGGACCTGGTGAGGACAGTGCTGTCCCAGGCAATGATCTCACCCCCACCAGGCCTACCATCTGTACAGCATGGCTAAAAATTAGCTTCTCGGCAGTGATGCTGTGGACGCGGTCCAGCAGTCGCTGCTTGTCCAGGAAGAAGCGTTCCAGGCGCAGGCGCAGGCCCTGGCAGGATACCACGCTGGCCTTGTAGAGCGTGTTCAGCTTGCGCACCACTGTGGGGGTGGTGCTGAGGTCAGCCCAGACCCTCGGCAGCAAGAGGGCCAGTGTGACCACGGGCAGGCACAGCATTAGGCAGACATGGGTCAGTGGGGACTTCCCAGGCCCAGCAGCAGAAGTGTCTGAGATGTGTGTAGTCTGGGGGTCCCCTGCTCTCCCCAGCTCTCAATAACCACGAGCTGTTGTCACCCCCCCCCATCAGTGGTCTCTCCCCTCATTCATCCCCTCAGCACCCTGAGGTACTGCCCCAAGCAAGAGGGTTTGGGATCTTCCCCACCTTGCTTCACAGTGGAAGACAGGCAGAGCTTGCCAGCCCGGATCTGGTCAATGGCGGTCTGTAGGCCAGCGGACAGTAGCTCAGCCACCTTCAGATACAACACGAGCTGCTCCGCAAAGCTGCAGGAGGCAGGCAGGTCAGAAACATGGTGGCCAGCACAACCCCAGGGACAGTGCCCCCCACCCTAACCGTCGCCCACCCCCACTCGCGGCTCAGCAGGCTGATCTGGTCGGCCACCACACTCTCCTGCAGCGGGACCTCGGGGCCTGCAGCCGCCTCGCTGGCACTGCCCTTCAGGGCGGCGATCTCCAGGATGTGCTGGACGAAGATGAGCGTGAAGCGTAGGCTGTGCAGGATCTCCGTGTGCTCTTGCTGGGGAAGCACAGATGCGTGGCTACAGCCAGCATGGCTGCCACGCCCCCACCCCTCTGCCTACTCCCAGCCCAGCCCGCACCTCCATGAGGGTCTCCTCAGGGAGGTCCGGAGCCTCGAAGGTCACAGCCCCCTCCAAGTTGGCAGCGATGGGGTCGGCAAAGCTGCAGCAGTGGCCGGCGGGGGGCAGCTCAGGCGCAGCCTCACTGCAGGCCCCGGACACAAGGTGGCGAGTGGAGGAGCCAGCAGAGCCCACTGTGGAGAGAGGTGCGTGAGGGGGCTTGCCATGCTCCTCCACCTAGCCCCCACCCAGCCCCGGGCCCTGCCCTGGCCAGCTCCAACTCCTCGCTTCAAGACCAGGTGGTCAGTTATATGCTCTGCCACATCCTGCAGCCATGTCAGGGCAAAAAGGATGGGACCTCAGACAGTGAGTGACTGGGTCCTGGACTACCCTCCCACCACTTGCCAGTGCCTAGGCCGCCTGGATGCAAGGAGAGGTGGAGAGGGGAGGGTGGTCGCCTGCCAACATGTAAGGACCTAGGGCCAGAAAGCCCACCAACACAGGACAAGTTTGCCGCACTCCTGGCCCCAGGACTGGGCACCCTGGCATCCAGCCCACACTAAGCACGCTTTGGAAGTGGTCTACTCTCGCTTCCACTATTCACCTTGTCAGATGGGCACCAGGCCTACCATCCTCTCAGATGGGAGGCCTGCACAGGGATTTCTCAGGTGTGCATTTGCCCCTGCAGTCCACGCCATGCACTCACCTGAGAAGGCTGCAGTGCGTGAGGCCTGAGGTGGTGTGGTCCCACTGGGTGGGGATCCCACTGTGAACACCACAGGTGCGGGGCTGCTGGCACCTCCAGCACGGGCTCCTGGGTGCAGGTTCCCTCCAAAGCCAGCAGAGGGTGCTGTGGCGGCGGGGGGTAGAGGAGAGGTGCTCAGAGGCCATCTTCCCTCACCACTGCACCCCACCCAGATCCCAGAGTCCAGCTGCCCACCGGTCTCCATTGGCCTCTCCTGCAGGCTGTCGGTGCTGCCCCAGTCCGAGGCCTGTGTCCCGAAGGCCGCCCTGAGCAGCAGGTCAGTGAGGCGGCTGGTGCTGAAGGACCTGTGGGAGGTGGGGCTGAGCGGCTGAGATGCCCATCCAGCAGATGGGTTGTCCAGGATTTGGGACAAGATGTTCATGCCCAAGGAGCCTGGGCATCACCCACTATCGTGTGCTAGTGCCAACCCAGACATCTTACAGACAGGCAATCACCAGCTCAGGCAGGGCTGCAGGACAAGCCAAGTGAGCCAAATTCTTCCCCCACCTTTCAGGAGATGCCACATGCCAACTTACCGGCCGACCGGGCCCCTGGCATCCTCCATGGGCCGCAGTCCGGAGCCCAGCTGCTGTCCCCGGAAGGGCCCCACCTCTGAGAGGTCAGGCAGCGTCCGGTTCCGGGGGGGTGTCATCACTACGCCCTGCCGGGCCAGCAGGGTCAGCAGGTTCTGGGAGCTGGGGGTCTTAGGGAAGTTGAAGGAGGGCGTGGCCTAGTGAGTGGAGAATTGTGCTGAGGGTGGTCCCAGCCAGTGTGGCCGACTCCACACAGTAGGGCAACAGGCAGAGCAGAGGGCCACAGAGGGGTCCTCCCATGCGGCCACTCTGCTCTGGCGGCCAAGCATGTACACGCACAGAATCATTAACACAAAGCATCGCATGCACGCAGTCCATCCCCCGGGTGCAGCACACACAACATTCTGCTTCGCAACCCTTCAATATGCAGACTGGGAAAGCAAGGCAGCGAGACACGAGTTACATCATTTCCCCACAGCTCTATATGGCCACAGGACACAGGGGAGACCAGACAAGCACCTCCATTCTACAAGGTCCCAAGCCCCACGGGTTCTGTCAGCCTACTGTGGGGAGACCCAAGGTGGTGGTGAGTGTGCCAGGACAGCTAAATTTCCCCTGTGGCCAGCTTACTGACCAGCTCACAACCCAGGCCTCGAAGGTGGATGGCGGAGGAAGAAGGGCCCTGGCTTTGTCTGCACTGGCCATCCCTTGCCATGTCCGTGCTGGCTCTGGCCAGGTTACCTTGGTGGGGGAGCCCAGGATGGGGGGCAGGGGGTTCCGCTGCAGGAAGTCTGGCAGCTTGGGTGAGCCACGCAGGGTCCGGCAGGACTGTAGCCCGTGGGATGGTGGGGAAGGGCTGGCTTGGGGTGGGTTGAAGGCTGCTCCCAGCGGGTCCATCGGCGGCTTGGGCAGCTTGGGGCGGATGACGTGCAAGTCAGACAGGTTGGGGGCACTGTGCAGGCGGCAGCCCAGGCCAGAGGAACGGGGCGAGTGCTCGGGCACGGAGGAGCCTGAGAATGTGATGAGATGGGATGTTACCACCACCTGTCCTCCACCTGGCCTAGGTGGAAGAGCACAGCACGGCTCCCAGAGCCTCTGCAGCAGCTGTGCCCCTTGTCTCCGAGAGGCTCAGAGCAGTGTCTCTAGCTTATTCCCCCAACTACCTCTTTCCACGCACCCCGTGGGGGCAGGGACCACCTGCTCGAGCCATCACTACTCACTACCACCCCTTTCCGGGGTACACGCGCAGCAAGCTGGGGTCAGAGCCCAGTTGGCGCCAGGCCCAGGCAGTCCTTTGAAGGATGCAGGTGTCAAAGTAAGTCCCTATCCACAGGGACAAATGTCCACCTTACCCCTATCCTTCTTCTCACCCAAGGAACAGAGAGAGACCTGGCTGACAGCCAGGCTCCAGGAACCCAGGCTTATGCTGCCTACACCCATCTCACTGAACCTCCAACCTGTCCATGTACAAAAGACGGTCCTGAAGCAAGGGTGGCCAGCTCAGCTCCTCTGCCCCACCAGCAGCCCAAGCCTGCAGCTGCACCTGCCAGGACACACAGACATACTGGACGTGGGGACCTACCTGGACGCAAGGACCTGCCAGTCCACATCTCAGCTGCTTGTGGGGAGGGGGCCCTGCTCCAGGCCAGTCTCTCAGGGATGGTTCCAGCTGCAGGGTAAGACAGAGGGCAGGGTCTCGTCCCATCCCACTGCAGTCCTACGCCATGCCGGCCCCAGGTCCCTGAGACAGCAGGCTCACCTTGTGGAGATGGTGTGTAGGGCCGGCCCCCACCCAGGGACAACTTCCTGGGCAGGAGGGCTGCATCGGCATGGGCTGGGGGCGAGGGGCTGGCCCGGGCCAAGCCCAGGGGGCTGGTGCTGCCTGACCGGCGACTGCCAGGTGACCTGGTGGATGACCTGCAGCAAGGTGGGCACGAGGAGATGAGGCCCCTCCCTCCCTGTTGTTCAGGCATCCTCACCTTGAAGTCATAGACCCTGCAAAGGTAACTACAGCCTGAGTGGCACTGAAACTTAAAGGAACTGTAGCACGTTCACCAACTGAATGGTACAGTGTGCAGCCGCACAACTGCACAGGCATGGCAAGCCTGCCTCACCATGAGAGATCTGGTCTCTGCTACCCACCCTGGGGCACGCCTAGACTCCCAGAGACCACTCACCGGGGCATCTGGTGCTGGGTGGGCGACTGCAGGTTCTGCTCGATGCGCTGGTAGTTGTGCACCTGAGTTGGGACTGGGATGGGGACAGAGGCACCGTATCTGCTGCTGGAGAATGGGCCAGCCCGGCTGTGTGGAGAGAGGGCGAGGCCATAAAACACAGAGCACTGGGGAGCCTAGGCCAACATGATAGGGCAGATACCCTGGACAACCTGTTGGGGGCAAGGAGTGGTATCCATGTCACTATCATGGTCATTTGAGTCCCAGGCACCATGTAGCTGGCCTACCACCCTAGGTATCCAGGCTGCAGCAAGCAGGTCCATAGGTGGTCCTGAACCCCCAGTCTGAGCCCGTGGGGACATTCTGAGGGAGGCAGGTCCTGGCATGGCTCTGCCTCAGTGTGGTGGTTCCAACTGGGGAAGAAGTCAGACACAGGCTCGAAGTCCGCCCATCGCTCACCCTGCCCAGCCCACTCACCCTGAGGGGCTAGGGGTGCTGCTGCAAGGGGGGGATGGAGAGGGTGTCCGACCATGGCTGTCCAGGCCAGCAGAGACCACCAGTGAGCTCCTAGGGAGAGAAGGGACAGATGGGTGCACTCTTTTGACCTGGAAGTCCTGAGCACGAAACCTGTATCCTTCCAAATCTGCTGCTCCGGTAACCTGGAAAGCCACCCTCCCTCTCCCCAAACACAGAACTGGGGCTCACCCACTGCACAGCAGGCTGTCCGGCAGGGGCTTCGCACCGACCGTCTCAGCTGCAAGGTCACCTGTGGGAGCAAGAAGTGTCTGGCCTGACCACCCACTGCACCCTCCAGCCCAGCCACCCACACCGGTTCCCCAGGTCCTCTACCCTCAGTGGTGGGGGATCTGGGTGCAGCAGCGGGTCTCGGCTATCCTGGCACTGCCCCCAACCCGGGACTGCTTGTGTAACTCCTCCTGCTCATATCCAGCACAGTCGATTCCAGGACAGACAGCAGCCCAGTCCAGCCCACCCAGCTTCAGGAGCACCCAGACTCCTGTCCTCAAAGTGGCTCTGCCTTTTGGCCAGCCCCATCTTCCTACTGTCCCAACAATGGTTGGCCAAAAACCTCCTTCCTTGTTTGCTCAAAGCCACGCTTGGACCCTGCCACTCCTGCAGCCACTGGACAGTGCAGCCAGTGTCTAAGCACAGATGAGCAAATGCCAGGCAGGCATCCTAGAGCCTCAAGGGGCTGAGAACAGAGACCCAGGGTCAGGAACGCTACTCCACCTGCCAATGAACAATTAGCAGAGTGTGGGGAATGAGCAAGCAAGAGACCAGGGGGTGGGAGTCCTGGGTTAGAGACGGCAGTGTTTGGGGCTATAGCAACCTGGATGGAGGCGGCAGCAGCAGTAGGCCCTGGGCAAGGCTTGGGCACCAGTTTGGGACATGGACCCCTGCTGACCCTCAGCAGACACAGCGCTCTCCCATGCTGCCTGCCCATTGCAGAGATGGGGTGTACCTGGCATACATGACTGCTGGCCCTCAGCAACTGACCTGGAAACTGGGCGGGGACCATAACAAAGTCATCTGTGTCACAGGAGTCTTTGCTGCTGCCGCCAGAGTCACGTGAGCTGTGCAGGAAGCCAGTGGCTGCAGCCGGGGAAGTGAGCGTCTTCTGCAACTGGGGCATCTCCCCCAGGGACTGGAGGTCAGAGGACGGAGCCAGTGAGCGTGGACCCAGGGACCCCAAGAGTCTGGAGGAGGGGAGTCCTGTGTCTTCTCAGCCTCAGAAAGACCAGGGACTGGGAGTGCCGAGACGGGGCCTGGCAAATTCTGCCCTCCACTGTCTTGAGTTCACAGAGCACCACTGGCACCACCCAGTTCCTGGGAGCCAGTTTAGGATGGCCACTCCTATGTCAGCTTCAGATGTAGCCACAACACAGAGGTCACGAGACATGGCCCCCACGGTCAAACCCCAACGATCAGAGCAGGGGGTGTGGACAGGTCCTACCTCCACGTCTTATCCTAGGGGGCGCCATGGCTCCCCAGCCACAGCTACTGCATTGTCAGTGCTGACTGGCAAGGCTCCAGGCACAGCCCTCCCACAGGCAGGGCTGGGGTGAATCCTGACAGGTGCACCACAAGGGAGAGGAGGGGGTGTCCCAACACTCACCGGGGGGGAAGCCAGATGGGAGGTGGAGCTGCTACTGGAGCTGCTGCCAGAGCCTGAGCTTGGGTATGAGGGTACGGGCACAGGCGGGGCTGGGGAAGGGAGCCGCAGTCAGCTTAGCTCCTAGAACCTGCTCCCCACACTCGGTCCACCTGTGCTCAGGACAGCCCCAGGACACACAGTCCTTCAGCACCTCCTGGCCTACTCCTACTCCTGGCCATCTCCTGGCCATCCCAGGACTGTGGCCTGTGCTACCACGTCACTGTGACCGTGGAGTCAGCTGGCTTCTATTCCAAGGCAGCCACGTCCCCCAGCACCTCCCCCCTGCCCTGAACTTTCTGAACCTGTCCCACCCACCCCCACTCCAGCGGGTGAAGAGACCTATCTTGGGGAAAAGGGGGTGCAGAGACCAGCAGGAGCCTGGGACCCACAAAACTCACACTTCTTGATGGAGGCGCTGGCGTCAAGGAAAGGGTGGTGAAAAAACTCATCTGCAAAAGGGTCAGGGTCAGGGTCGCCTCCGAAAGGCACCCAGGCCTTCACCCACCTGGCCTTTGGCCCCCATCTCCCAGGCTCCCCATCCCTGCCAATGGGGTCTTCCCAGCAGAGCCCTTGCTCCAGCCAGGTTTCAGCCTTGATACAGGACACCATACCAAGGCCAGCACATGTGGACAATGGCCTGTGCACAGTGCCCAGATGGAGTGTGCAGGTGAACTAGGTGGATGGGGGTAGCAGGGCCTGCCGTGCACCCAAGGCCCACAGCTGTCAGGAATGACCGCCCAGAGCCACACTTACCAAAGCCCATGCGCTCCCTGTGGTTGCGCTGTAGCAGGGCCAGGAGCAGCTGCCGGAGTGGAGCGGAGGTCTCACGGGGAATGCTGGGGGACAAAGACCAGAGGGAGTTCGCCAGGGGGCCTGGAAGCCAGGCCCCCTTTGGGGAGTGGGGAGGACTACTTACGTGGGGACCAGCGTCTTGTTCTTCTCATAGAACAGGCGGAGGTCCTGAGGGCTGCTGGCCTGGTGCAAAGGACAGCATCAGTACCCAGCAGGACCACCGGCCCTGCCACCCCTCCCCCAGCCCAGCCTGGCCAGGAACCAGGGTGACCTACACAGGTTAGTTGGGGGGAGGGTACACAGGCTTATGCATTAGGAACATCCAAGGGTTTGGCACCTGCGAGTTTTTGTTGCCTGCCCCAGGAAGGGGTCTGGGCCCTCAGTGAGTGTCCGGAGGGCTGACCCCTACGACCAGGAGGCCAAGGCCAGGGCCGGCTCAGTCCCTGCAGGAAGCAAAGCCCTGGGCCCTCGGGCTCCTGCACAGCACAGTGCACTGCTTTGGGATTCCCTTTTGTACTCAGGGCCAGGTAACTCCAGGCAGGGAGGTGGGGGGTTCACATGAGATGGACCGCCTGCATTGAGACAGGAGGCCTGGCCCACCCACTCCCCACCCAGACCACCTTGAAACAGCATCTGCCATGGTGGGAGCCACACACCTGGAAGGGTGCTTTCCCCGTCAGGCACTGGTACACAATGGTGCCGATGCTCCATAGGTCTGCCTTCCCATCATAGTGCTGGGACATGATGACCTCGGGGGCCTGTAGGGTCAGAGATCACACTCAGTGCTACAGCCCACCAGCAGAGCAGACACCAGTCACACACAGGACACTTGTTAGCAGCAGCCACCTGTTGAAATCCAGCCAGAGAGCCTGGCTGCCAGCTGGCTGGGCCATGGCACACACAGAGCCACCTACCATGTACATGGGGGAGCCGCAGAGCGTGGCCGCCATCATGTTGCTCTGGAGGTAGCGCGCAAACCCGAAGTCAGCTGCAGGTGACACACAGTCAGGGACCCCGGCTACAGCCTGGGTGCCCGGCAGGGGTGCGCCCACCAACCAGGCCTCACCGATCTTGACGCGAATGTTGTTGGGGCTGGCCCGGCGCCCCCCAGGGTTAGACAGCAGGATGTTCTGGGGTTTGAGGTCCCGGTGGATGATGCCCTTGCTGTGTAGCAGCCGCATGGCACCTGCGATCTGCTGCAGGAACAACCTGATGGTGTCTTCACTCAGCGTGCGCATGGCTACAAAACACAGCACAGCTGCTGGGCCTCCCGACCTCAGGGCCTGAGACCAGCGGCATCCAGCAGGTCACAGAAACGATACCCCTCAGTCCGAGGAATCAACTCTATCCACGGGCCCACAGGCCGGCACCTGGCCTCGCCACTGGCACTCACCCATGCGGGGTCGCTGTAGCTATCAGCTGCTAGCTCCTAGGAGCCCATGTGCATTCCGGCATCCACCACAGCTTGCTCCCCTTTCTTCAGGGGTAATGACCATCCCCGGCCCTAGCTGGCCTCCTCTAGCCCACAACAGGCACTGACACAGCCACTCTCAGAGTGTCCATGGTGCTGGACCACCACGAAGCCTTCACTAAGCGAACAACTGGACCAGTGAACCCGGGGCAGGAGCAGGACTCCCGTATGGCTAGGGGTCAGGGAGTGGGGAGCCTTGAACAGTCCCTGCTCTCCCCTGGGATGTGAGAGGCCAAGCAGGAGCCAGGTCTCAGGGCAGCTGCTGTCCGGGATACTGAGAGAAGGAAACGCAACAGCAAACAGAGGGCAGAGGAGCCAACACAGACCCAGACCACAGCAGACACACAGCCCTGGAGATGGCACACCAATCCAGGCCAGAGCCCAACCTCTGCCAGTCTTACCCTCAGGTGCCCTGTCCTGTCCCACTGCCTCCACTCAGAGGCAGCAACAGGGGGCAGGCTCACACGCTGCTTAAGTGTGGCCATGGACGTGTGAGCACCATTTTAATGAACCAGGAGACGCCAGCAAGCAGAGCAGCGCCCTGGGCTTCCAAGGGCAGGTGGTGCCTAAGACTGGCCTGGGGCCAACCCAACACCTGTGCAGCCTGGACACAGGCCAGAAACTGCCTGGTCACTGAAGGTCAGACAGGGCCCGGCAGGTCTGGTGGCACACTGAGTAGGCAGAGCCCGGCATGGGGCCACCACGTGGGCAGGTGTGGCCAGCAGCTAAGTGCCCAGGGCCATTGCCCTTAGGGCCAGTACCCTCAGCCTGGGTGAGTGCTCAACCTAGCTCACCATGTAACAGACAACGGTCAAGTCGGGAGGAGGCCTCACAATCAGGGTTTGAGGGGGGCTGCCTCCTCAACCTGCTGTACCCAAAGATGTGCCCCCAAATCCATATGACTCCCCTCCCCATAGTCATGGGGTTTATACAGGCTTGTGGGAGTGGAGAAAGCAGACAGGACATGTCACATGAGAGGCCCATGTGACCCACACGCCACCAGAACACAAGCGGTGTCTACAGGGACAGGTAGGAAATCGTGCTGTTGACAACCGACCAGTCTGCTCTGTCACAGCAATGTGCCTCCAGATGACTGGGCTGAGCCCCTGAACTGGCCTCTGGCCACAGCTGTACCAGCTCCAACCACAAACTCCTGCCACCACAGCCATGCAGACACCTCCAGCACGGGCAGTCTCAAAGCCCTGCCCACGAGGGTACTGCCCTGGCCTCATGGGTCCCTGTGCTTCAGGTCTTCCCACTGTGGATCAGCCTAGCCTCCCTGCCCTGCGGCCGTGTCCCCTCTGTCCAGCAGGCCCCAATGCCCTCTCCAAGCTGCCTGCCCTGCCACTCAGAAAACTGTAGCCACATTCCCCGGCCTGCTGACTGGCCCACCACACCATCACCCACTCATCTGGATCCCCTCAGCCCTAGCCAGTGGCCTCCCCAAGCAGGTGGGCACTGCTCCAGAAGCCACTGGTGTGGGTAGTAGACAGCACTCCAAGACCTGAACCACTAGGGCCCCGCTTCCAGGGGTGCTGGGCAAAGAGAATGCCCAGATAGAATCGTCAGGGGCAGCTGCAGTCAGGCCTCCCCCTGAGAGAGGCCAGGGTGACTCTCAGCTCCACTCACTGTGCAGGTAGTCAGCAAGGTCCCCGCCGTTGCAGTACTGCAAGAGACACAAGACAGCACGTGGGACAGGACCCCCAGACTCGCCCCCACGTGGTGTCCCAGATACTCCCAGCTCAAGACAGCAGGGCGGGCTCTCCCCACCCCCTTCCTGTGGTCCCCAGTGCTCACCTCCATGACCAGGTAGACGGAATTAGCCATTTCCTGCAGGTCAGAGAATTGCCGTAAGAGGTGGAAGTGCCGCCTGCTTGCGCGAGCACTGTTAGACCACAGGGCTGCAGGCAGGTCAGCAGCATGGCCAGGCAGCAGCCCCCAGCGCTCAGTGGCTGGGAGGCAGCAGCAGGTTCTGGTGGCAGTGCTGACTGTGCTTTGTGGCCATTTGGCAACTGGGTTTGAAGGGCAGGAACAGAGGCCAACAGGGTGGGCCAGAGCCGGCTGGCCGGCCAGCCTCGGGAGGGCCTGGCCACCAGCATGGAAGCTGCAACTCTTGGCCTGCGATCAGGCTGTGGAGTCCCACTCTGGACAGACCCTAAAGTCTCCAGCCCCACTCGCCAGCAGGGCCAGGGCAGCTCCTACTTATCTCTGGGCTCAAACACAGCTCACCCAGGGAGGGACGGGTAACCACAATCCCCCCACCCCTCACAGCTGCAAAGAAAGCCCTGTGGTGTCAACTGGGTGTGGCTTGGAGTAGGGCAGCAAGCCGCCCTGCCACATGCACACCTGGCCCTTGAAGACAGGAGGAGGCCCACGCCCAAGGCCTCTCTTCCTCCAGTCTCCTCATGCCAACTCCAGGCCCTCTGGAGGCAGTAACCAAACTCTGAGCCACCAGGGCCACAGCACAGGCGAGCTGGCCCAGCAGCTGGTGGCACAGGGTAAAGGCACACTGTGCCCCCTCAGCCTGGCAGGACAAAGCCCCTAGCGTCCCCCAGGAGTCCCGGTCTGTACCAGACATTCCGTGTAGATGGACGCAGGTACTACATCCACTCCTGAGAACTCAACAAGCCTCATTCTACACAGGGCACTGCCACAGGAGTGGCCTAAGGAGAAGGCTGGGGTGGCACCCAGAGGTGAGGGGCTTGGCAAGGAGGCTTGGAGGCCAAGACAGCCCAGGCAGGCAGGAGGACCCTGCCAACAAAGGCAGGCTTCAAGACCCACCGACCTAGGAGCCTCACCCACAGCAGGGAGGCCAGCTGCCAGGAGGGTATAGCTTGCAGGTGGCCGTCTCCAGCCGCACAGGCTACAGGGGTGGCTAGATGCCTGGCAGGAGAAAGGGGCAAGGACAATAAGAACAGAAAGCAGGCCACAGAAAGCAGACCCGGCACAGCCTCCCAGGCCCTCCAGCCACCCAGCAGGACAGGCCACAGTGGCCACACCTGCCTCAGGACACAGTGTGCAGCGGCAGAGCTCACTGGGCCTGCTACCCAGGACTCCAAACTCCCCCAGGGTGATGAGACTGACCAGAACAAGGACATGGGTTCCAGGAGGAGGCAGCCCAGGTCTGATGTGGACACAGGATGGTATGGGTACAGGAGCCCTCCCGCTGCCTCCTCCTCACCTGGGACACCTGAGACACTGCTCCCCAGCCAGCAAAGCAGGACTTATGGGCACATGAGAATACCCCACCACACAAGGTTACCCACAGAGCACTGGAAGCCCGGCCACCTGCCATTCACGGGGCCCAGGCAATGGCCTGCCCACAGAAACCCCCTTCCCAGAGAGGTCCCCTGCTCCCACCCCCGAGCCTGCCTTGTGGCTCCCAGAACACATGGTAAGTGTCTTCCAGGCTCATGGCTGCAGCTGGAAGTGGGTCCACTCTTTGTCTTTCAACTGCCCCTTGCTGGGCAGCTCTGCCCAGTCTGCTACACAGATCCCACGATGGCCTCCCCTAGAAGTTCCTCTCGGTACAGCACGTGGGCAGCAGGGCTGGGGCCTGCCTCAGCACAGAGCATAGGACTCAGAGGATCCCACACACGCCTCCACACTGCACTGAAGGGGCTGCGGGCCTCAGTCTTCCCACCTGTGAGTGGGTCCTCCCTGGTGCTTTGTTCAAGGTTTCCGGAAGCCTCACATTGGCCCAGCACTGCCCTGCCCGGAGGGTCAGATGCACTCATGGGCAGACTGTGTCCCAGAGAGGTTCCAGCCTCGCCCAGCACTTTGCCTGCACCACCCTTCAAGAACTGGAGAAACTCAGGGCCAGCAGTGCCGCCAGCGCCCCCCACCCCCTGGGCTGTCCCAACTTGCATAAGCCATGGTTTCCAGTGCTTCTGGGGGCTGTAGCACCACCTGGCAGCTACAGCTGCCCATCCAGAAGTCAGGAGCTTCCAGCACCACAGCCCTAGCCTTTGCAGGGCTGAAGCTGGTTTCCACAGGCTGCCTTGGGGAACAAGGGCAGGCAGGCACGGGCACCAGTCACTCCTTAGCCAACTCAAGGGTCAAGGAACCACCTGACTGCGTCACTCACTTTGGTGCACGCACCTGCAGGGGCCACACCTTGCTTGCAGGGGCTGTAAGGGTCTATCACAGCCCAATATGCACACCTAGAGGCAGCACACCGGCTCCCCATCCAGAATGGAACCAAAGGAACAGGGCAGAGGTCAGCACAAGACATGGGCACAGCCTGATGGCTGAGCTGGGCGGCCCCTAGCAGGTGACCCTAACTTATGCACCCAGGCTTCCAAGATGGAGTGGTAACAGTGCTCACCTCACACAGCACTATCGGGGTACAGCTTTCTAACAGGCATCCTGAGAGGCTGTGGTGATGGCACCAGTCCCTGCCACCCACATGCAAGATGCACTGGTTCCTCACTCACTCAAAGTGTCTCCCTCTGCTTCTCTTTAGATAAAAATAAATAAAACAATAAAATGTAAGGGCCAGCATTGTGGTGTAACATGTTAAACTGCCACCCATCAGGGTTGGCATCATAACACAGTAGGTTGAGCCTCTGCCCACGCCTCAGCATCCCATATGGACACTAGTTCAAGGCCAGGATGCTTCGGTTCTGATCCAGCTCCCTGCTTGTGGCCCAGGAAGCCCGTGGACAAGTACATGGGCCCCAGCTCTCATGTGGGAGAGCAAGAAGAAACTCCTGGCTCCAGCTGTCCGGGGCCATTTGGAAAGTGAACCATGGCATACGAAGATCTGTATCTCTTTTTTAAAGATTTATTTTATTTTTATCATAAAGTCAGACATATAGAGAGGAAGATCTTCCGGCCCGATTCACGGCCGGTGCTGTGTTGATCCGAAGCCAGGAGCCAGGAGCCTCTTCCAGGTCTCCCACATGGGTTCAGGGTCCCAAGGCACTGAGCCGTCTTTGACTGCTTTCCCAGGCCACAAACAGGGAACTGGATGGGGAAGTGGAGCTGCGGGGATTAGAACCAGCACCCATGGGATCCTGGCGCATTCAAGGCAACGACTTTAGCCGTTATACCCACCGTGCCAGACCCTGTATCTCTCCTTCTAATTCTTTCAAAACAAACGAAAACCGGTCACCTATGAAGCTGGCATCCGGTATTTTCACTAATTCCTGGTTCAGCTGCTCTACTTTTAATTCCGCTCCTTGCAAAGAACTTGGGAAGGTGAAAGATGATGGTCCAAGTGCCTGGGTCCCGCCACCCAGGTGGGAGACCAGATCAAGTTCCTGGCTTCTACGTATAGCATCTCTCTTCCATTCTTGCCTTCCCTCTAACTCTGCCCTTCAAATAAATAATTCTTTTAAAAATAATGATAATAAATAAATTCAAATGGAGAGAGCTGGTGCCCTGGGAAGGGGCTGGCCAGGCCTGCTGTCTTGCTCGGGAATGTGGCCAGTTCCAGAGGCCAGCATCACAGGGAGCCAGGCACGGGTGTCTGGGCACGTAGGAGGCCACCCCGCCCCACCCTTGGGAACACTAAGGTGCTTTGCTTAATAGGATCCTCTGCCAATCCCAGTTCTGTCTGGTGACCCTGGGCTGGGTCTGGTGGGCGGGCCACTCTGCCCCCTGAGCTCTGTGCTACTGGCCAGCTCCCAGACGCAAAGAACTGCCAGCCCCACCCTGAGGAGGAAGCCCCACTGCTTCCCAGTGTGGTCTGGTGCCTGGCTACCAGCTGCCCATTCAGCGCACTCCTCTGAGCAGGCTCCCATCCAGCCAGGAGCTCAGCGGCAGGGAGTTGTGGAGCGCGAGCTGCTGAGACTCTTGGGTCAACACAACCTACACGCACATCCCTCCCCAGCGCCCCAGCCTGGCGCCTGCCAAATCTACTAGTGGCAGTCGGCCCATTTGGACCCACACGCTAGGGAGCAGACCTGCAGCACGAGACTACAGGGCCATGCAAGGGGCATTGCCTGCCACCCCCAAGCACCCACAGCTTCAACATGCAGTGGAACCTCAACATCAGCAGGCAGCCCTGGTGCCGGGAGCAGCTCCACCAGGGAGCAGCAGTCGGGCGGGGAGGAGCTGTCATTGGAGGACCAGCTGGCAGCCCTGGTGCCAGGGGCAACAGCCAGGGGCAAGGGAGGGACCGTTGGAAGAGAACCAGCAAGTGAGGAGGGTTGGGCCAGGGCTTCCGGGGTGGCTGTACCCCTTTCATATATGTGCCACCTTTAATTAGTACACCACCACACAGAACAAAGAAAGCAGGCATTGTGGCAAGCGACTTCCAGGGCTGCCCGACCCAGTCTGCTCACAGCCCCACAGCCTCACGTGACATGAGGGAGCCCAACCAGACCCTGGCCCACTCTTAGCCCCACATGACACAACAGAGCTCTACCTAGACCCTGGTCTACTCACAGCACCACAGGTGTCCTTTCCCGACAACCCTGATGCACAGACCATCCAGATGTCCTTTCCCGACAACCCTGATGCACCAGACCCCGGTGGGTCACCCCAGGTGTCCACCAGCAACTAAGACAACAGAAGCTAGGTCTGTGTGCAGAGCTACAGGGACCTGACACCCCTGCGTGCTGGCCAGGGCGTCACATCGGCAAGGCGTGGGCAGGGACGAGAGCGAGATGAAGAGCATCCTTTCCAGGTTTCCTGCTGGCCTGACATCACTGCTCTGTGGCAGACCAAACCTCCCCACCACGAGGCAGGAACCAGCACCCTGACAGCCAAGCAGCCATCGCGGCACCCCAGGCTCCAGCAAGCTGACCACAGCAGAGCACCTCGTCCGCATGGCCCACCCTCCTAATCCAAGGGCAGGAGAGATGACAAACAGGCGTAGGAGCTGAGCGGGCACGACAGAGTGGCCTTCCCAGCAGGTCTGGCAATGGCTCCTGAGACAGAACATGCACAGGCCTCTGATGATGCAGCACCTCTACTTCTGAGCCTGCCCTCACGCAGCAGCTTAGTGGTGAGGCCACGGTCTGCAACACTGCACCCCACAAGCACAGCCAGGTCCCAGCTGCTGCACTTCCGGGCCAGCTCCCTCCTGGCGCACCTGGGCCAGCAGTGCAAGATGGCTCAGGTGCTCGGGGCCCCACACTCCAGGTAGAAACCCTGTGAAGCCACTGGCTTCTGCCTTCAGCCTGGCCAGCTCCAGCCATTATGGCCATTTGGACTAAACCAGCAGTTGGATGGTCTGTATTTCTTGTGTGCTTCAAAATAAGTAACTATTAAAAAAAAATAACCTGCAATAAACTTAGAGACTGACAATAGGCACAATAGAGCAAAGGCAGTTGTGGCAACACCACCAGATGCACCAAGGTCCCAAGATAGTCCACTGAGGGAGCCACACAGCCCTGAGTGACCACCACACACACACCTACAGAGGGGTGGCTGGAGGGGTAGGGAGCCTCTGGGCAGCAATGAGATCCCAATGAGAGATGAGGACTCAGAGCTACATTCCCTCGTGCCTCTTGAGGTTTGCTTTACCTATGTTTAAAAACAACACCAGGCCCTGGTATTCACACTCGGGAAAGAGCTTTAAGGAAAGGGGGAGTGAGTCCAGGTGCTCTGGGAGGCCTGTAAGCAGAGACCAGAGCAGCCCTGCCCCAGGGAGGCCGGCTGACACCGCAGGGAGAGGCAGGTGCCAGGCCCAGGTGTGTGCCCAACAGGCACCGAGCAGGGAATACGACAGGCTGGTCGGCTGGGTGCTGCAAAGGTGCCCCCTGGAGCCTGACCTGGGGGAGCATGGGTGGCTCTGCCGGTAGGCAGGGCTGCTAGGGGGCCTGAGTCCCACACCTGTGGTTGCCAAGAAGCTTCAGGGCACAGAGGGCAGAGCAAAATGAGTGGAAGGGGGAGGAGGTAGCTTCCTGGACCCAGAACACGGTGTCTCTGCCGGGTTCCAGGTTACTCACTGTCACTCTGGACCTGGGCCCTCCCCAGGTCACCTCATGACATGCCTCAGCCCCCAAGGCCACGGCACAGTGGACAGCGAGGGAGGGAGGAGGCCACCCAAAGGCGGCTGGCTGGGAACTTCCCTCCACCAGGGCCGGTCCCGTGGACTCAGTAAACATCTTTCAAAATCATGAGTCAGCACTTCAGCCGGCAGATCTGGCCTCGGGTTCCTAGTCCCCGATCCGGGCATCCAGACCCTGTCTGTCACTGTGCCCTGGGGATCTGAGGGGCATGGCTGCCTGGTGGGTCCGCACTTTGGCCTGTCTGCCGTCTGGGGCCAGCCAGACCTGAGGTGGCCTCCTCAGACAGCAGACAGTGGCTGGCTGCTCCGGCCCAGCCCCCGCTGCCAGCAAGAAGGAATCTCCAGCAGCCCCTCCCCCAGTCTGACGCAGGAGAGGCCAGCCAATGCCGGGCCACAGGAGTAATGTCAACAAAACAGCCACCAGCCAGACAGGTGGGCCGCCCAGGAGCCACCACCGGCTGAGAGGTGGGGTGCCTACCACCGGCCAAGCTGCTGGCCCACCTGTGGTCCTCCACCACCTGCCCCTCGCCCCCACCAACTCCCCTGGCCAGGCAGCCGGGCAAGCTGGGAGCTTTCCGACAGAGCAAGAAGCGAACCACAGACCTAGGCAGACAATGGGGTCTCTGGGGTCCCAGATCAGAGACACCCCCACATCCACAGCCACTCCCACCACACTAGACACTGGCCCAGAAGTCGCCACTGCTGACCAGGGTCTCCCGCACCCGACTGCCCCAGAGCTGAAAGCCGGGTGCCCTGCCGCCCCCACCCCCGCAGCCCAGGGGCTCACCTGGAAGTCATACAACGCCACAATGTTTTCATGTTTCAGTTCCTAGGACAGAAATCCGGTTCCCGTGAGCCAGCGAGCCGGGGGCCAGGCAAACGAGGGCTGCCCCCGCTCCCGGCCTCCCACACCGGCCTCCTCACCTTCAGTATCTTGATTTCCTTCCCCAGCAGTGTCTGGGACTTGGCAAGGTTTTTCTTGTTAATGCACTTGACCGCGACCTCGAGGTCGTGCTTCTGAAATCCCAAGGTGGACCCGTGAGGGCTGGCCGGGGTGGGGTGCCCCGGGGCCTTCCGGAGGGCCAGCGCGACCTCCCGGACTCGGGCGCCCCGGGGTGCGGCGGGGGCTTACCTCCCGGTGGCGGCCCTTGAACACCACCGCGAAGGCGCCGTGGCCGATCAGGTCCTTGCGGGAGAACTCGAACTTGCCCACGACCTCGGTGCCGCCGCGGCCGGGCTCCATGGCGCGCGCAGGCCGGGCGCGCGGGCCGGGGCGCGCGGGGCTCAGGCAGAGGCTCGGGCCGGGGCCGGCGGGCCGGCGGCGCGGGGCCGGGGGCGCGGGGCCGGGCGCGGGCGCATCGCCGGGGCCGCGCGCCGCATCGGGCAGGCCGGGGCCGCGTCCCAGCCCCGCGGGCCGGCGCGGCCGCGAGGGCGCTCCCTCCGAGGGCTCGGCGCGGCGCTGCGGACGCGGACCCGAGCCCAAACCCGGCTCCGACTCGGGCTGCGCTTCAGGCTCCAACTCGGGTCCGGGCTACGACTCCACTTCAGGCTCCGGCCCTGGCGGGGAAACAAAAGAGCCGCGGCGCCCAGGCCTCAGCGCCCTAGACGCCGGCGCAGGCGCACTGGGCGGCGGGCCGGGGGCGGGGCCTGTGAGGGGCGGGGCCTGGCAGCTCCCCGGGCTCTCCGGGGGTGGCAGCGGTGATGAGGCGGGGCCTGCCGGGGCGGGGCCTGTGAGGGGCGGGGCCTGGCAGCTCCCCGGGCTCCGACGGGGCCAGCGGTGACGAGAGGGGCCTCCGGCGGGCGGGGCCCAGGAAGCGGGTGGGCGTGGGGCCGGAGCAAGCGTGGTTGCGTCGGAGCGCAAGGGTCCCACCGAGACCCCGGCCAGGCAGCGCAGACCCGGCGGCCTTTACGGGAGAGCTCGGGGAGCACAGCGCGGCCTGGGCCGTGGCCCCTGAGACACCAGCTCTCCTGGTGCGCGCCGCGCTGTCACGTCCCCGTTTCACAGAGACGGCTGGTGAGAGAGCACGAGCAGCTGTTGTGTGACCTGGCGGGGGCTGGCCAGCCCTTCTCAAGGCTACCCCACACCCGGCTGACCCGCACAGCGGCTCAAGCCCTGCCCTGGCGAGTGCCTGGATTCGCATCCACTCGCCGCCCCCACCTGCACTTCCGGGCCCTTGGTCCCAGAGACACACACCCCACACCCAGGTGTCCCTCGGACCCCACACACGCAGGTGCCCCACAGGCCCTGGCACCCCCGGGCTTTTCCAATGAGGAGGCCAGGACAGAAGGGACTGTCAAGGCAGCACAGTCAGCCCGGGCTCCTTCTGCCTGGGGGTGCCAATGCTGGAATGAGATTTGCGTATGGAAAAGGTGGCTTTGCATGTGGGGCTAGGTGTCTTAGATATGCTTATTTATTCCAAAGGCTGAGTGATAGAGACAGAACAAAAAGACGTTTTCCATCCCTGGTTCACTGCTTCCCCCAAGACCTGACTTGGCCAGTGTTGGTTATTTAAAACAATTACAGTTTCCAGTTTTTACGTTATTACGATATTGGCGCAGATCATTCCCACAGCCTGCCGAAAACAAGGAGGGATCTTAGGTTTGGCCGGAGAGCAGCGTAAAAAGGGGAAGATGGGGACAGGGGGGAACACGGCCCCTTATGCTCAGGTAAGCCTGCTGGGCGTGGGGGAGGATTGGAGGGGTTGAGGGCAGGCCCAGGGGAGTGGTGCCTGCAGGTGAATGCCTAGGGATGATTGGTGAGTGGGCGGGGTTGGGAGATTTGGAGTGGGATTCTCAGCTGAAATGGCACGAATAAGTTGTGAGGAAGAAGGCTCCTCAAATGGCTCCTCACAGCCAGGTCTCCCACGTGAGTGCAGAGGCCCAGCACGTGTGCCCACTGCCTTTCCAGACGTTAGCAGGGAGCTGGATCCGTGAGAGCCCATGGGCCCAGCCTAAGCACACAGGGGCCATGGGGCTGTGCTGGCTGCTGCCTGGCTCAGTCCTGCTCTGCTGCCTCCTCCCTCCCCATTCCTGACTTTGAAACAAATACAGCTCTTTTTTTTTTTTTTAAGATTTATTTTATTTCTATTGCAAAGTCAGATATATAGAGAGCAGGAGAGACAGAGAGAAAGATCTTCTGTCCAAAGATTTACTCCCCAAGTGACCGCAACGGCCGGTGCTGCGCCAATCTGAAGCCAAGAGCCAGGAACTTGTGTCCGGTGCTCCAAATGCAGATCTTAATATATATTTTTAAAGATTTATTTTTATTGGACAGTCAGATATAGAGAGAGGAAGAGACAGAGAGGAAGATCTTTCGCACCAGGCTCAAATACAGTTCTAGGGCCCAGCACGGTAGCCTAGCAGCCGATGTTCTCACCTCACACATGCCAGGATCCCAATTAGGTACCAGTTCTAATCCCAGTGGCCCTGCTTCCCATCCAGCTCCCTGCTTGTGGCCTGGGAAAGCAGTCGAGGACAGCCCAAAGCTTTGGGACCCCAGGGCCCATGTGGGAGACCCGGAAGAAGCTCCTGGCTGTGACAGGCTCAGTTCTAGCAGTTGTGGCTTAAAAGTACAGTTCTTATTACAAGCTACAGCTGGATGATAATACCCCGTAGCAGTGGGCAGCTGTGACAGCACGTAGATTCATTGACTAAGTTTTGAGCGTAGCCTGCTGCAGTTCTCTGCATCTACAAACAATTGCCGCCTGACTGGTTTAAGATGTTGGTTGGATATTTTGTATTATACTCCACCTCAGTTGGTGGGATGGCCCTTGGGTGCCAATGTGAGCTTAAATCCCCCTGACTTAGGCATGCGGGGTGCTGGTTCCTGGAGTGCTACAGGAGCTGTTGTCCGCAGCCTGACTGGCGAAGACTCCTGCTAACATCCTACACTTATGTCTGGCATGATTTCTCGGGCTCTCTGTAACATTTCCACACAGATGAGAGTACATGGGCTGAGGGGTTATTTGTTCAAGGTGAAGTTCTGGGTCATTTCCCCCAACAAAGGCCACAGATAGAGATACCCTGGCTATCACCCATCAGTGGGCCACCCTGGATCTGGGAGGGCCTGAGCTGCCTCCAGGCAGGGTGGGCTAGGTGAGGCTCCCCAGTGAAGACAGCAGGCACATTCCTAGCTTGAGCCCCAGGCCAGCTCCAAGCTGGAGCTCAGCTTCCAGGCACTGCCCGGGGGCCTTCTGGTAACCACAGGTGCCTGAGGCTTCGAGCATTTGGTGGTGGTTTAAGACTTATTTATTTTTATTGGAAAGGCAGATTTGCAGAGAGAAGGAGGGACAGAAAGATCTTTCCCCCACTAGTTCACTTCCCAAATGGCTGGAATGGTTGGAGCTGAGTTGATCCAAAGCCAGGATTCAGGCTGGAACTTCTTCCAGATCTTCCACATGGGTACAGGGTCCCAAGGACTTGGCCATCTCACTACCCCTGCCCCAGGCCAGAAACGGGGAGCTGGACTGGAAGTGGAGCAGCCGGGACACAAACTAGTGCCCATATGGGATGCCATGCTTTCAAGGTGGAGGATTAGCCAGTTGAGCTATCACGCTGGCTCCAAGGTGTTAGTCACTGAACCAAAGCAGAGAGAGGCAGCCAGGAGTCCTGGCCTCGCCCACACTGGGTCCTGGAGTTCGGAGCAAGGAGTGGGGCATAAAGGCTGAGGGCCCAAGGGGGGTTAAGCCCAGCTCCTGGCAGACCCCAGGAACTGGATCACAGAGACAGTTTATCTTATCAGGCTTGCCTAAGGATTCAGTAATCTCACAAAACTGTCTGGGATGGCTCCTAGCTTTCCTCCCAACAACCCCAAGGTGGGGGATGTGGAGTGCAGAATCAGGAGGAGCGCTTCTGGGCTGGGCAGTGAGCCCTGGACACACCTGTGTGGAGGCCCTGTGCTATGCTGTCCCTCCCTGGGATCCTGGAAGTCAGGTCTTGCCTGGAGAGAGCAAGTCCAATTTTCTGGGACCGGTAGCTCTGCCCAAACATTGGTCAAAATCCACTGAGCTGCTAAGCAGGGCATGCAGGTCACCCTCTGGGAGATGGTGTCATCCTAGGGGCAAACCCAGGGGGGCTGGCCTGGGGTGAGGGCGCAGGGGACTGCCCAGGTCCTAGCCTGGCAAGGGAGAGGGTTGCCCAATGTTCTGCCATGCCACTGAATTGTCCATGGCATCATTTTACATCATGTGAAACTCAGAAGGAAAACAAGAGGGAAAGGAAGGGCTGAGTTGAGGGCGCCTCCTTCACTGCCCAGGGACCTGTGGACATCAGGGAGGCAGGTGGGAGTGAGGCCAGGGTGGCCAGGATAGGATGGCGAGAGGACAAGGTCGGGGCTCACTCAGCTTTTCCCAGTGTCTTCCCAGCCTCTCCCACTTGCCGTCCTTGAAATTCAGCCACTCCTAAAGAGGCCTGAGCAGCCCAGGGCCTGCAGCTGGCTGGACTGGTTCCTTGGGAGGGCTAGGCCTTGGCCTTGCAAGTGACTCAGCCAGGCACAGCCCTACCAGCTGCCACCCAACAGTCAGAGCCTTCAGGATACCCTCAGGGCCACGAGTTCCTCCCAGTCCCTGGCCCCCACACCTCCATACTCCCGGGGGCTGTGGGAAGAAGCATCCCTGGTTCCGGACCCTCTGTGCCCCAGCCAGGTAGCCTCCTCAGAGCCCACAGACCTGGGACAGCTCCTGTGAGGGGCAGCTGTCACACAGCTCCTTAACTTCCAGCTTCAAATCCCTTCGCGGCCCACTGCAGGGTCCCTGAAAGGGCCTCCTCACCTTCTCGCTCTTCCTCCTACTTGACAAGCAGACTCAGAGCCTCTCCCTGCAGCTGGGGACAGCCCTACCCCCCACACCCAACAATGTGAAGCATAAGGTATCTTTTTTTTTTTTTTAAAGATTTATTTTTATTATTTTTTCATTGGAAAGGCGGATATACAGAGAGAGGAGAGACAGAGAGGAAGATCTTCTGTCCGATGATTCACTCCCCAAGTGAGCGCAACGGGCCGATACTATGCCGATCCGAAGCCAGGAGCCTCTTCTGGGTCTCCCACACGGGTGCAGGTTCCCAAAGCTTTGGGCCGTCCTCGACTGCTTTCCCAGGCCACAGGCAGGGAGCTGGAAGGGAAGCGGGGCTGCCGGGATTAGAACTGGCGCTCATATGGGATCCCTGGCATGCAAGGCGAGGACCTTTAACCACTTGCGCCACCGCGCCGGGCCCGGTATCTTTTTTTTAAATATTAATTTTATTTTTATCACAAAGTCAGATATACAGCGAGGAGGAGAGACAGGGA